AAAAAAAAAAAAAAAGAAAAAGCAAAGAAAGACGAGCAATTTGAAATTCTCTTGGAAACAGCGGGCCCTCAAGTATCGGTGAAAACGCAGCAGGAGTCAGTGCGGCGAGGAGAGAGCGTGACACTGCGCTGCGAGGCCGAAGGAGACGCACCTCTTGATCTGAGTTGGCGTGCCCGTGACAGCAGAGTCGATCCCAACTACGACGTTAGGTTTGTATCGAAATTAATCAAGCCCCTTCCTTTGCACGCACGCACGCACGCACGCACGCCGCAGCTTGCACTGCGAACGATCGATGAGAGTGACACTTCGATCTCCCATCGATCTCGATTGACAGAGGCACAGCTTAATTACAACGCGAGTCCGTCGAGACAAGCCGACTGATTAACGCGTTCGTGTTCGTGTTCGTGTTCGTCGTGGTCGAAGAACGCTACCAAGAGGATCTGTTTCTTCGAAATTTTTCCAACTTATGTGTCGAACGTGGGCGCGTGGGAGGATAACGTTCAAGACGCGATTCAAGCGGGATTTCCTCGGGGGGATTCAGACCGGTAGAGTACGTTGGTTCCGCTCCACGAAGCGTGTGACTGAGCACCATAGTTGGAGAGTTTCCGCCGAACATTTTCCCCAACAGCTCGCTCGGTATCGTGCTCCTTCATTACGAAATTATTCGGCTCATCCCTTGTTGCGTCGCCTGCTAACTTTCGCTCACGCAAAATTACTCGAGCAACGAGGCTACGGCGGTGTTCGTCAATAATAATTTCGAGCGATGCAATCTCTCTTAGAATATCTGTTAAATCCGCGGAGGTTTGCCTCGTTGTTCGTTCATCGCGCGCAAGGGGACGCGATTTATAATCGTCTCTCTCAGGATTGACAAAGGAGACGTTCGTGGCGGTTTGATCGATCAACTGCATTCGTGGTTCGCAACGAATTTAATTTGTCATTAAAGTTACTCAGTCGCTTCGTTGACGCGTTCCGTGCACGGGCTCGATTTTTGGTCACGTTTCCGTATACGTTCCACGCTGTTACGATTAATGGTTTTGTTTCTCAAGTGTGTCTTACAGTGCAGAAGATATAATTATCAAGAAAAGTGTGAAGATGCATTACAATTTAATTTTAAGATATTATTCTACTCTATCAATATTTTTTAACGATGTTAAAATTAATTTAAAGCGAAACAAAAATTTTGTTTCAAATATTTTTAGCTTATGTTGCAATAACACTAAATAATGATGGACAATAATAATTTGCTCACAATCACAAGTTCGATTCTTCGTTGAAAATGTGCTAAAAATAAATGCAGTTCGCCGGCTGTGACTCAAACATTTTAGTAAATTTCGCAACGTCTTCCTACCGAATTGAATTGGCTTTAACAGACAATCGGAGAAAATGATCGTCACGCTTTTTTTAACAAATTTTTAAAAAGTTCTTCGCTTTAGAAAAATGGCTTTCACTTGTGGAGCGTGTATACGGATAGGACTTATCAGGACTTACGATTACTGAAACTGTCTCTGCTCTTTCGTGCTCTAGGTACACGATAGATAATCAGAAGGTGTCAGGAAGGTTGATCTCCGAGCTGCGGATCAGCCAGGCGAACCACATAGACCGTGGGGACTACATGTGCGTAGCGACGAATGCTTATGGGCATGCGAGGGCGAGCATCAAACTGCTAGTTCAGGAGCCACCGAATTTTCCCCGAAATTTACACGTAGCCGAGCAGGGGAGCAGATCGTTGCTGTTGGCCTGGTCGTCGCCGTCCAGCGAGCAGGATCCAGCGCACGCCAGCTCCCCTATAACCAACTACATCGTGCAGTACAAGGAGGCGCAGGGTAGGTTGGCCGATTCGCTTTGTCCGCCGCGTGCGGTACACGGCCGCCCACGATGTATCGGGTGACACGTGTGATTATCGATCGAGGAACGGCCACTGTCCGATGCACGTCACTCGGGACGCGGCAAGCTCGCCACCAGATATCTCGAAATTTTTCCGGCTTGTTTTTTCGTTTCTACTCGAAGAAGGAAAAATACTGTCTGCAGAAATCGGCATGCCGAATTGGGCATCGACATCAAACATCGTTAGCGAAATTTGTATTTCTATATATCAGATTCTATATACTGATCGATCGATCCGCAGTCCTTCGGAATCGTGTCACGGAAACGTGTCCCCCAATATCAATTAAGTTGGAACGATTTCCGATCGTTCAGCACGAAGTTACCCGGCCTTTTGAACGGTAATTGGTCGCGTAATCACCGGAGAGTTCGTTGACAAGGAATTATGAGACTATGATTGCAGAACTGTTCAAATTAAAATTAGACTGTGGACAGATTGGCACGTTGGACGATAAAATGACAGACGACGAGGCCGTGTTTGAAAAATTTTTCACTCGACGCAAACTTGTTTAACGTAAGAGCGCGTTGCGCACGTGAAGAATTTGTCGAGACTGGCGAATTCGACGGATTGACAGTCGCTGAAGGAGCTTAATTAAAACGAATTAGAATTCGATCGGTGGTTCGACGTGCTGGTATATTGGTTCCGTTTGATGGGATGGAAATGAGAAGGTCACTGGACCGAGCTTCCCTGCGACGTTGCAGCTTGCCTCGAGACAGAGAGGCGTGTCTCAGGAGCGTGTACCGGTTAACTTCGATTGATCGTAGTCAAATACGCGTATCAATGGCTCATGGATCGGCGTTCGCATCGGTCCGTGGAGCCGTCGTGCCGACTCGTAATTGACAAACGGGATCGAATTCACGTTGCGTACAATGACTCATTCCTATCACTAGATTCGCATACACTCATAGTGCACTCGTTGACGTTCCTAAGCGTGTTCACACCACTCCCGCGAGATCGGCGACTGTTTTTTTTTTTTTTTTTTTTTTTTTTTGATAAAAGAAATGTTCTACAGACGGTTTCAAGTCGAAAGACGTATTTTGTTTTTGTTTTTTCCTTTTAAGGTTCCCTCTTTACCTCCGTCTTTGGAAATCATAATTGTGGAAATCTTCAACGCGAACATTTGATTCGTTTGATGCAAATCTTTGCATGCGAATGCTGGATCGTTTCACGCAGGCTCTTGGCGTCTACCTGTCTCGTAATACGATGAAAGCCGATATGCCAAAGGAAATAGATATGCCAACGTTGTTGGATTACAGTCAGGTTGCTTAACTTTGGCAACGCTATACCTCTATATCACAGGCTTCCGGTGTGGCACAGCGTTTCTCAAATTTAACCATCCTCTTACTGGTTCGTAGATGGTCAACGTTCCGGTTCGACTGTATCACCACCGGTAAAATATGAGAGATTAGCTCGCGGCTCGTGAAAAACCTCACGTCGGAGGTGTATTAATTCCAGATATCGAGAGAAAAGCCGGTGATCGATTCGGAGGAGGCTAACCTATTTCTTCGGGCCAGATACAGATAACTGAATCTTTATAGAACCAGGTGATTTATTGCTTTGACATCTACGCCGGGAAAAAGACTGTCTGAAAGCTTCTTTGGAATTCAAATAGCCGACCTCTTCTCGCTTGTGACGGTGTTATCCGTCGCGTTACCCAAGATCCATCTTGGTGTTCCTCGACTTTGCCTCGATGTCGTTTGACTCGTTCATAACGATTTCCGTGGGGAACGTGTCAGACGTTATTCATGCCCCGTGACTATCGCTACGTCTTCGTTATTTTTCACTGGATAACCATTCTTTCCTCGTAACTCTTTCCCGCGTTTCTTCGGCCTTCGACTCGATCCCTCTCCTCGCCGAGTTTTTCTTAATCGATCGCGAAACTCGAGCACCCCCCGGTGAGGTTCCCGAGCCAGCCAGCCAGCCTGTGTGAAATTTGAGAAACGCTGTGCCCGGAGTCCTCTGTCCGTTTACCGATCGATGCTGCCGACACGATTCGTGCTCGCAGCCAGGAAAAGGTTCTTATAGATTTCTGGATATTTAGGGCAATATCGCCTCACGGCTGCGACCGAGTGCCGCCGTTGCGGAGGAACCAAACTCCGGAGGGAAGGCTCGTTTCGACTCGATTCAACTTACTTTTCCCAGCCTGCCTGTTCCATGCCTCGATGATCGCAAGATCATCGGCGACGATCTCGTGCATCGACGCGTTTCAATCACTCGAGCAAGCTTCCATATGCGAGATATTTCGAAAATTTCATGCACGAACAGCGATTTCAAATCCGTACAAATTGGTCTCGAGTATGATCGTTTAAACATTTTGTGCGACGTGTACTTTGCAGAATCTCCAAAATTTCCATGTACGTACATACGCCAGTTTCACATTTGCCTCGAAACGTTACCGATATACTCGGCAATAGTGCTAGTAAGAACGTTCAATTTGAAACGTAGCCAGTACACACACGCGTACCAAGTCTTTTGATGGATTTTTTTCGTCGTGAATTCCACCACAGAGGTAGGGGAGAATTTCATTACGACGATCACGACAGTTTTCATTTCGGCTTTCTTTTGTTTACACGAACTTCCTACGCCTGGTCTCTATATTTTAATTGCTTTCCATCCACAACGGGCACAATCGTCGTTTCATTACGGGCCCGGCCGTCGGAAGGAGTTTGACTCGTAATATCTCGACAGTGCCACATTAAGACTCCATTATTGGACTGTCAAGCTGGATCTCAAGTTTAATCAATAGCCGGTCGGCTGGCTGGCTGGCTGGTTGGCTGGCTGGCTGGTTGCGGAGGTAGTCGCAGGCAATGAAATTATAGCGCGATATAGCAAACAATATACAATCAATCCGGGCTAACAGATCGCACGTAGCAGAATCAGTGGCTTCTTTCGAATTCATTCGTGGACTGATTGGACCGCGCGGACCATTGCGTCCACGTGCAGTTTCCAAAGCAGTTCTCTATCTTCCGATCGACTTCCGCTTCTTCACCGGAATCCACCCCGGCTAGAGCAGAGCCGTTGGCCGACCGAAATAATAAACGATGATCCCGCTGAGCGGCGCGACACCGGCCAATTCGCAGCCCCAATTCGTTTTTACATTTTAATGGGAAAATTAATTTCGAAGTGTGGCGGGGTTGGCTCTCTCCCTCCAGCAGCTCCAACCGGTCTTCCGGTTGCGGACTGCAACGTGTACACTCGTGGAGGCGAAAGTTTTTCAATTTTCGCGAAAGCCAGGGCCGCCTCATCCTTCGATAGTTTTGGCAGTCGTCGAATCAAACGAGTATTGTCACCGGATGAAGAGTCCGGACCATGAAACGTTGGCTCGTGGTAGAAGTCTGCGTTTCACCACCGTGCTCGACGATATTTAATTACGACCTGCTTCTTTTTCGAGCAACCGAGCTAGGCGAGAGGAGCGAAGTTATATCGAACGAAGCGAAGAATGGGTCATGGCTTTCACAAAACCACACGCCGCAGAAAGGAAGT